TTTAGGCTGAAAGACAACCTTGTCCTTGTGCAACACTTAGAAGGGTTCCTTACAGGATAAGGCAGCAAACTCAAAAAGAAAAGGTCTCCATAAGAAAGATGTAACCTTCTCTCAGTATAGAGAAGAGGTCCATCAACTAAGGGCACTAGCAAAAAAGAGTAGGCAAGATGAGAGTAGGAGAAGTTATATAGGGGGCTTTCCTTGAAAACTCTCACTTTTTTAGTGTCCAACCACTCAAGGTAGCTGCAAATAACTCATGGTAAAGATCAAAGTGCCTGTGTCCCATACTGTATGACTAAGAAACGGCTGTCACATTTTTGCTGCCAGAGCGGTTTTTGAATTTTTTTTTTCATGTTAAAATGCACATTTCAGACCTGAAGGTTGGTTAAAACCCCCAAAACAATATATATTTTATTAAAGAAGAAACCTTGGAGAATAAAACTGTGATAATTTTTGTCATGTGATATTAGTGCAGTACTATTTCAGGAAAAAATTTTTTAATTTTAGTGCACACAAACACAATGTATATTCCCATATTTATTGGTAAAATATAAAATAGGAGGATGTGTTGAGTAAATTCTTACCAAACATGTCCAGTCTTTATGTTCACCTGTGAAATGGTGTCAAACTACAGTACTCAAAATTGTCCATAGGCAACTCTTAAAACGTCTTTACAGGTCATCAGTTAAGAGTTAACCATGAATGATGGTTTACTCTTAACTCCCACATGTGCTCCAATACCCAATACGATCAGCTCTGTATATAGGCGCAATGGACATGCATGTTTTGTTCGTATGTGAGAGCTTCTGGAGGCTTAAAAAAAAAAACCAAACTGTTTTGCCATTTATTAATTTAATGTATTTTGATTTTTAAATACTTTCTACTTACTTAAATGTTATTGCTACAATCTATATTATAGCTGACAAGTTCGGGTGTGCGGGGTTCAGCCAGGAGTCAGAAGATTCCGGCGTGTGTGGAAGTAATCGGGTGGCTTTAAATCACTTCCAGCAGAAAGGTGACAGTTGGCTGAACAAGTGTAAAAAATCTTCTAGCTGCTATATGTGTTTATAAACCTATGCTGCTGCCAACATAAAGCTTAAATCTATGGAAGCTAAAGGGTTAAATCAAGCCCTCACTGACTTCTTTAGCTGTAGGCACTGTGGAGAATTGAATCCTCATATTCACAACATGCTTTCCCAGAAGTTCCCAGATCTACATGCCTGCTACTCTCCCATCTCTGTATAATTTACATTCAATTTTTGGAAAACGAATCAGTAGGAAAAAGAACACCCCTGTTTTTCGGGGAGGCATGATGGGTTGAAGAAAAGCTAGAGCATTGGGCAGGAACACAAAAAAGAAATATGATGTAGAGATCTTGCCGTTGCATTCCCTGAAAGCTATAAAAAGGCAGCAGGTGACACTGCACTAGAGACTAACATATCTCTCCGTGCTGCACTCTTCACTTAACAGAGCACAACTATACAATAGTATAGTGAAACGTTACAACCAATGAATAAATCTTTGTCTAGCTCATAGCAGCACCCTTTTTGAAATTTCCATATACATATAAGATTTCCTTATGCTAAATCACACCAATGCTATATTCACACGAGAGATTGATGCCGAAAAACATACAGTGCCTGTATTATTCACTCTGCACGTTGAACACCAGAGGAAGCAACAGAGTGCAAGGGAAAGCACCATTTAAATGGTGCATGCAGCATTATAGTCCTCGTAGTCGTGTAAAGCCACGTCAGCCCCCCCCAACAGGGAAACAAAACACAGAAATGTGCAGTGTGCTTACTACAAAGTGTATCAACCCCAAAACAAAAAAGGTAAATATTGTAGCTTATGAGCCTATAGATATGGTGACTGAATTAGCTCTCTCTTTTAGGCTATCAACATTTTCTGCAAGTTGGTCTTCAAGAAAAGCTTGGTGTAAGCTTGTTACTTCCTGTGAGCTTAAATAGCAACAACAAACGATTACTATCTCACTTGAGAAACTATATGTCCCATCAATCCACCTTGCCATGACAACAAATAGAGTAAAATATGTTTAAAAGTCCAGTCTGTGTGACAAATATAACTCCTACCAACGACACGGTGGAGAAAAAAACAAAAAAAAAAACAGCATAGCCTGATGTAGACAGGTCAGTTATTCATAGGCTTACCAGGTGAAATTACATGGAAAAAGCAAATTAATGCAGCCACCACATCAAAGGACCAATAAGCTTGAATACATGAAATTCTTATGTTTGGGTTAAGATAAACTTTAAGAGCTTGAAGTTTGGTAAACTTACTAGGTGTAAAAATGTGCTGTTAATGCTTATTTCATGTTAACAGCCCGCAAAACTGCATTTACATTCATTCTGTGTGAATTAACCACCTGTTGTGAGATTAAGCAAAATCAAAAGTTAAGATATTTTCTTTTCTGGTCAAATGTTCTTTAACCACTTGAGCTCTGGAAGATTTTACCCCGTTCATGACCAGGCCATTTTTTGCTATTTAGCACTGAGCTCATTTAACTGGTAATTGCCACTGGGCTATTTTTTTTAGATGTAAAACGAAAAAAAGAGAAAAAAAACTCCCACAATTTTTTCAACTTTCTGCTATAAAGCAGAAATAAAACATTTTGAAAAAATTAATTTAGCCAAAATTAATTTTCATACGTCTTTGAGCCCAAAAAATCCCAATAAGGGATTGATTTGTGTGAAAGTTATAACGCCTACAAACTATGATATATATACTGGAATTTTTATTTATTTTTATACTACTAATGGTGCTGATCACCGATTTATAATGGGACTGCAATAATGCGGTGGCCAACTGGCTGGTAAGAGGTTAACATCTAAGGTGATCAAGGGGTTAAATGTGTGCCTAACTATGTGTAAAGTGTGCTGATTTTACTAATAGATCACAAAGCAGGGATGAGAAACACAGAGATTGTTCTTCTCTGTACAGAGCTCTGTGTTGATTGTCAATACAGAGCTCTGTGTTGATTGTCAATACAGAGCTCTGGGCTGTGATTGTACACAGCCAATCAGCATGTCCTGGGCATAAATCAATTGGCTGGGACTTGCTGACAGGCTCCTGCTGTGTACAATCACAGCGAGTACCAGCCCTGGGGCACATATGCACACGCCCAAACCCCCGAAGTGGGCAGCAATGTACGAGTACGTAGCTTTGCCTACTGCATGCGAGAAGGGCAGTTGTGAAGTGGATAAATATTATGGACAGTTGTAATGTAATGGAATCTGAAAAATATTGCATTATGGCCACTAGATAAATCTGAGGATTATAGAAAATAAATACAATTCAGTAAGAGGAGATATAATGTACCAATTCTCGAGAACACTGGAAGGAATTAGCACTGGTTACATTTATTTGCCAATTCCCTCCACTGTTCTATAGCACATTGCATCTGTTCTAAAAATAAACTGTACTTCCCATGGTCTTCAGCTGAATCTTGTGGCCATAATGCAGTATTTTCCAGATGCACCGTTACAAATTAACCTATCTGTACTACAGCCCTCAACATTTGACAACATTTCTGAAGAAAATAGTCTAAGAAGAATTGATTTTGGCCCATTCTAACAAAAGGTGCTTAGTTTACATGAAGTTTCACTAGATGAACAGCCAAGCGTTTGACACACGTCGATGCACTTTAATATGTACCCTACTTCTGTCGGTTGATGTTACATTTATCTAAATAAAATGATAAACCCATGCAAGGTGTATTTTAATATGAATCAAATGGGTTAGAAAAAACTAAAGTAAGTTATGTCATAATTTATGTTGCTGTTGACTAAAACCACCAGCCAGAATCTTGACCTTCCTAAATGCATTACAAAAGGGACAGATTGTAACTGGTTGCTATGGACAAACACTTTTTCTTTATGCATAAAAGATGTGTTTTTCTTTTATATTAAGATAAATAAACTATGTAAAAGTAAACAAAGTGAATGTGTTTCCTTGAAATTTATCACCAAGCCAGAGCAATTTCATCACCGACCTTTAGAGATGACAACTGTCTTTTTAAACATACCGGTGGCTCAAAACGACAAAATTTGGATTGGAAAGGTATCTATTGTAGTGTTCATCACATGGAACTGAGTGACCCAAGTTTATTTCAAGAAAAAAAAAAAAGTTTACATTCTTTTCAATCTGTAAAACAAAATTTACTGCTGGCATGAAGCTTTGCTATAAAATGGAATGTTTTCAAGTCACAGATCAATAAAAACAGGATTTGCTCTTTAAAAATAGTGGCAGAATGTGTACACTCCAGCATGTGATCTGCCATGTAGATTTCTAAGTCACATTGCTAAAACACAATCTATATTTTTTTTATGTACATCCAGTTATAAGAAAATCCCAGTGACTTCTTTAAAGTGTTCTTTCTTATCATCAGTGTGAATATAATGCCACACTATATTATTCACAAACCACATGGGATTAGCTAGTAGAGCAGACAGGATATGTGCTTGTGTTTCTTGATCAGTATTACAAACCAGCAGCCCAACCAATCCCCTGAAGGTCAGAAACCTATTTTGGTTAGACACTACCAGCGTTGTTAGTCTGAGTTGGATATAGTTTATCATGTAGAAATTTATGTTCGGATCATACAAAGAGATTAGAGGGCTCCAATAAAAACCATTCTTTCATGGCAGTGACTGGTTACGTACATATCATATATGCAATAAACGCACAGCAGCCAAGCCCTATTCAACACTGAATGTACACAGGCATTATATTCCATTTCAACAACTGATCTGTTCACAAATTGCAGACCAATTTACACCAGTTTCTGGGTGCTGGCAGCACAGCTATTTATATGTAGATGTCTGAACCTATGGTTGGCCAACGTTCTTGGAGTCCACTTTAACGCATTTTGAATCCTAAGTAAATAAAACACATCCTTTAGAATAAAAATAAATTTACTCTTCTTAACATGCGCTGCAAGTTCCCTTGACTGCCGTTTTTGAACACATCTTTTTGTTTTTTCATCGCAACCAGGAAGATGGAACCCACTGAGGCTCTGTGTCCAATTTATTGATTATCCGAAGTAATTCCTGATAAGCCTTGTCTAGGTCAGTATTCACAATTGCTGTGTCAAAGTAATGCCCATTAATTTGCTCCATTTCTCTTGCTTTTTCAATTATTTCTCTTAGTTCCTCTGGCTGCATGAGACAAAAAGCAACAATAAGCAACAATTATATACTGGTGTGGAAACATTTAATGCAAACTATATACAAAAACATATAAACTGGATTTTTATAAGCAACATAAAATTATTTTCTCTAGTAGTTCACGGAGGGGCCAAAGAAGACCAATGGATATGTTTAAAATGCATCTAGGTGGTTGGACACCAACCAAATTCCAAAACAGGCTATACCTCCTAAAGATACTGAGTAAGCCAAGAAGTGAGGGAAAACAATACAAACTTTCTAAAAAACACATTTTTAACCATGACAACTTTCTCATTAAACCGAATGTGCAAAAATAATGTGAGGGATGTGTTCCCCGATGAACTATTGAACAGAAGGATTTCACAGAAGGTAAAGATGAATCCAACTTTCTTCCAGCATTCATTGTTGGACAAAAAAAAAGTTTAAAGGAACATTTGGCTAAAAGTGAAACCCTCAGGTGTCATGGCACGAATGATTCATGAAGCCAGCTGTGAAATGTTATGCTCAAAACCATGACATCCACCTAGCAAACATGCACAGAGGACCAGGTACCAGTTTTGCATACCTGAGAAATTGATGCCTGGTGCTGAAGGCCCAGGAGACATCCACTCTTTTGGAAGTATAAGCAATGACAGTAAATGGGGTCTGTAGTCCCTTAATAAAATATGCTTTGCATATAACTTGGTGAACCCAATTAGGTGGCTATCGACACTTGGTAACCATAGCAGGGATCCTTCAGGGTGACAAAGAGTGATCCCACCTTCAAGTGTATGGAAACTCAAAAACTGGTAGTTTTTCTGTTTTTTATTATTATTATTATTAGGTTTTTTCCCCCTCATTTTTACTTGGTGATCCTTCCAGTAACACACTTCTTGCCTTAGGGTGGCTCAATTCTATGGAGCAGCAAGAGAGCCACCATTGGACAGCAGCATTGTTATTGTGGAAAATTTAGAGTTTGAAGCACAGGAAAACTTAGATGGGCCTGACTAACACATTAAGGCTGAATCCCAGCTAAAATATTTTAAGAAATTACTGAATTTTTTTTTCCTTTTGAGATAAACGTTTTACATAACTGAATAAAAACTGACCATTGTAAGCACCCCTGTCAGTGTTAAATGATTTGTCTCAACCATCTAACTGCCACTTTTGCTGTACATCTTGACCTGTTGAAATCACGTAGCTTAACCTGGCCGTACACTTTTTTCTTTGCTCAACTAGTTGACTGAACTAAAAGAACACAACACATTCCTTCATTCACACAAATGAGGTGGATGGAGGAATTACACAAACAGTGGAACACTGGGATTTTTGCTCGAGATGACTATTTACACATTTGTGCAGCACTTTACAATATAAAGGGAGATGATACAGTTACAGTACTGTAAATTACAGGCGGGTTAAGAGGACACTGCTCCCAACAGCTTACAATCTAATAGGGTGGAGCAAGTAATAGAAAAAGTAATAACTGAGGGATAAGCTGATAGAAGAATTAAAAGATTCTGTTAGGTGGAGGCAGGATAAGCTTCCCTGATGAGATGAGTTTTCAAGGATCATCTAAAAGGTGGCCAGAGTAGGGGATATCCTGACAGATTGTGGCAGAAAGTTCCAGAGGATGGAAGAGGCTCTGGAGAAATCCTGGAAATGAGCATGGGAAGAGGAGACAAGAGAGCTACAGAGCAAAAGGTCTTGGGAGAAGCAGAGGATGGTTTTGGTGATATTTTGAGATAAGATTGGTGATGTAGCTGTGGGCTTTGTATGTTGTTAGTATTTTAATTTAAGTTAACGGAGAATCGAAAGTCAGTGGAGGGATTGGCAGACAGGGTGGCATACCTGCACGGCTGGTAAGGTAGAGGAGTCTGGCAGCAGTATTTATGTCAGACTGAAGAGGGGATAGCCTATGGAGAGGTAGGCCTAAGAGAACGGAGTTGCAATAGTCAAGGCAAGAGATCAGAAGGGAGTGAATGTAGCTTGGTAGATTCATTTGTTTAAAAGGTACAAATTTAAGAGATGCTATGTAGGTGAAGTCTACAAGCTTTTGACAGTAATAGGATATGGGGCTGAAAGACCAGGTCAGAGTCTAGGATTACACAAAGTACCACGAAGGGAGGAGAGGGACTGATAATTGTAATTTTGATTTTTATGGAAAAGTCAGGGAGGAGGGCATGGGTGGAGGGCAATGTTACAAGCTCAGTTTTTCGGAAGACTTCATTTGGGGGAAGTGGTGTGTGACGGGAGTCACTTTGGGTGGGGGGCCCATGCAACACAGCTCACTTTGGAGAGGTGGAGAGACCCCTGTCTCAGCTCCCCATATCCCTCTTATGTGTAAGTCACCCTGTGCCTGTTGGTACAGGGTGATCTGTCCTAATATTGGGGTGGGGGGTTGTTGATTGTTTAATGCCATGTGGTTGCATCCCATTGTTCTATTGTGTGTCTTGCTTTCCCTTCATGGCCCAAGGAGGAAAGCCATGCTTGACACCCATAAGGTTCTCAAAACTGTTGTCCAGTGGAGCCCCAAAACCCACTGGAAAGGCATGACCGCCAAGGCCTAATTGGAAGTGTGGTGATTCGACCCACATGTGAGCCACAGGACCTGCCCAAGCACCACTGCCAAAACAGAAAGTCTGGAAAAAAGCAGAGCTGCAGCACGGGACCTGACACAAATGTACTTTAACACCTGGACCAACTGGCACACAGGGTACGTGGGTGTTGCAAGACAGAGAGAATCGCTGAGCCTCCGGGTGAAATCCACTTCATAGGGTAAGAAGTCAGAACCAGCACCCATCGCTCCCTAAAACAAGCAAGCAGCGGGGAGACAGGAAAAAGGAAAAAATGTGCCAAGTAAATATGGAGGTGCAGGAGCCAAGCAACCGCCCCTGAGCCAAGCTTCAGTTCCACGCATTAGAAAATAGGCTGGGACTTACCATTGCCGCCCCAGGTAGAATGGCAGTGCACGCATGGAAGTGACCACTGGGAAGGTCTAGCGCCCACAGCCAAAACAGCAAGCCAGTAGGCCACAAAGCCCAGCTTACATTTATCCGGCAGACCGACTGTGTGGTGCAGACACCTGCAAGGGGCAAGGTACCGAAACCCCTGGTACAGAGCATGCCCCCTCCCACAGAGGCAGATGGCAGAATACAATCCCCTGAGTGCCAGCGCTGAGGCCAGTACTAAACATCCAAAAGCATGGTACTGTACAGGGGAGAGGGGTCAGAAGGCAAATGCCAAAAAGTATCCCCCAAGGCACTGGCAGACTTCCTCTAGCCGAGATCTGGTGGCCTTCCGCCTATACAGTGACATAGGCAGGGCTACCCAACACCTAGGGGTAACGTGATCCCACGAGAAGAACCCCAAAATGGCACCCCTTTTGCCCAGTACACACAGCAGGTGGGATAGAAGCAGAAGCCCAGGCCTTTGGGGAAGAGGGAGGGGAGCCCCCTAGTACCAACCACCCCAGGAAGTATCCGTGCCCTATGCCTCATCCAGAGATGGAAGGGAGGAGGCATCTACTTACCAATCCAAATGGAGTGTGCAGGTAAGGCTCCCATGACAGATCCTCCTTTCCACTGAAGTAGGGGCCTGTCAGCCAGGGTAACATTGTGACACAGACTATAGGCGCGCCCCGGTTATATGTGTCCCCCAAAGATGTTTAACTCGCTGGCTGCCCAGGTCCAGAATGGGGCATCGTCGCAGTAGAACCAGCAGTCTATGCACATGCTTGCTGTTCAGACAGGGTGACCACTGGATCTAGATTATTCAGCCCATTACACAGCTCATCTGTTGATAGAAGAACTCCGCAGGAAAAAAATTCCAGGAAAAAGAAAAGCTATAGCACCACAGGTCCCAGCATAAAAAATACTGTATGTCCATACTCTTGAGACATTAGGCATAAATGACTGGAGGCTTATAGCGGTGAGGGGGTTTTATGCTTAGAGAGGACTGCCTATAAGAGGTGCCGAGTTTTTTCAGCCTAGTGTTCTACTCCTGTAGATGGAGCTATAAAAACCGGATTTGGTCATGGATAAAGAAGAGCAACTGTGTCCATCAATAAACGTAAGAGAAAAACATGCAACCTTGCTGCATCTGTGAGATAACTGATCACGAGATGACCATGGTTCCCTGGTTCTTAAGACTGCCAGGACTGGGTCAAATGGACTGAATACTCTGGGAATTTGGTCAGACCAAATGGTAAAAGCCATAAATTGGATGTGCAGCTCCCTATGACAGAGCAGCTCCACCTTCGAGAACTGAGCTTTCAGTAGTAATGCGACTGCTCAATTCTTGGGCATAAAGCTGGTGGGAGTATGTACTGTATGTTTGTTTGTTTTTTGTTTCCCGTACTTCTCCTTTAACTTCTTGCCGACCAGCCACTGTAGAAATACGGTGGCAGGTCGGCACGGCTGGGCAAAACCAGCAACCAGCAAATGTGTGTTTGCAAAACAGGTAGGGGGCGCGCACGAGGCGCGTGCCTGCCTTACTCGTCCCGCCGATCGCGGTTGCGGGTGTCAGTCCCCGCGTCACAACCGGTCATTACCGGCCGTGTCCCGCCGATTAGCGGCAATCACTGACAGAGAGCAGGGCTGCAGTAGCTCTGCTTCCTGTCAGTCCCCAGACAGATCCTGACATGCTGATCCGGAGAGAAGAGTTTCTCTCCCCCGATCAGCGTGTCCCCGTGCAGTACACCCCCCCGCCCCCTAGTAAAACACTCCCCTCACACAGTTAACCCTTTCAGTAAATAAAAACGTTAAACCCTTCCTCCCCAGTGCCATTAGTACAGTGTCAGTGTTTTTTTTTTTGTCCACTGATCACTGTATTGGTGTCACTGGGGATGTCAGTGACCCCAAGTCAGTTTACTATATATTTTTTATAGCTGAAAGTAAAAAATATCGTTTTTCTTCAAAATTTCGGGTTTTTTTGTTTAATACCACCGAAAGAAAGCTCTATTTGTGTGAAAAAAAAGGACGTAAATTTCATTTGGGTGCAGCATTGTATGACCACACAATAATCACTTGAATGAGTGCAGCGCCGAGTAGCAAAAAGAGGCCTGGTCATTAAGGGGGGTAAATCCTCAGGAGGGCAAGTGGTTAAAATTCCAAAAGAAAACAAAGCCTTTAAAAAAGACAAAAGATTGTTTTGTGCTTAGAAATCTGTAACTGATGCCTCAGAGTTTAAAGGCAACATGAACTTTGCCATTATTGACTTGATGCAGGCTCTAGGGCTTCTTTACTTATTCATTCAGCTGAAAAATAAAAAGCATGTGCATATCCCTGTTTCCAGCAATACAAGAATTATAAAAAAGACATTACAAGAACATGCAACGCCAAAACAGGTCAGCTATGGGTGTTTTTTCTCTTTAAACTACAAGAAAACACTCACCATCTCTTTTTCTATTATGAATTAAGAATGCTGGTCTTACTTTATTTGACATGCATTGCACACACCAACCTGAATTGTTGCTTTTACATAATGCATTGTATTGATTTGCACTGCACAACATTCAAATACAGACTAACTTGGAAAGTAACTTGTAAAGAAAGCTCTGATCTTTGTGCTCATGGTTGTCATACTGCAAATTCTCTAAAACAACTCAGCAATTATTTTCATTTTAGAACAAACCTGATGCAAAGTCTGGCTTAGAAACCCATGTAAGCATTTTACGAAAAAACAAATAAATTATATTTAATACATTTTAATTTTTAAATCCAGCTAGCTGTATTTCATATGCAGCACTGAAAGTGCTTAGTTAAGACTTACCTTTGGATTTCTTCCTTCTTTAGCTAGTAATGCACGTAATCTCTCCTGGGAAGGTGGAGCAATGAATGTAATATATGGCTTTAAATCTGAATTACGTAACGATTTCAAAGCCTGAAACAAAAAAAATAAAAAAGGTATAGGTAAAGGTTTGCGATAAATTTTATGTTTTTAAAGCGGAATTCCAAGTCCTAATTTTATTAGATGTGTATAAAGGTGCTTCCAGAACGTTGAAGAATTTCTTCAATGCAGTTGGGAAACACGTGTTCCCAGGCAGTGGGAAACACGGACTTCCCTAGACACAGCTAAAGCTATCTAACCTCTTAATATCCAGTTCATAAGACTGGTGGCTGTTATGTCCGACACTCATTCAGCCATGGATCTTGCATATTTCTCACTATGGTTCTTTAAAAAGTGATTAGTGCATTAATTACATCATAACTAGTTGTAGTGGATGGACCCATGTCTCCTGTTACCTCACCCATATGCTTACCTATTGTGAACACAATTCCCAGAGCATAAAGAGAATTGTAGTCTCAATCAGAGATGCCAAACACTAATAGGAAGTGGTGTCTCCCCTTTGAAATCACTTCTCGCTGTACAAAGGAATTTAAAATTCTTTACAGCAACGACTTAGCAATTTTTTTTTTTTTTTTAACAGTGAATTTATATATAAAGCTACATATTAAAAGAAAAAAACCTCCACAATACTCATTTTGCTTTGCTAATGGATCAGTGCTGTTGGATATATTTTAATACAAACTCAGGAGTTCAGCCTTAAAGTGTTAATAAACCCACAACAGTAAAAATAAGTCAGTATATGCAGTAAAGCATGCTTGTTCTACTCACTGTGGAACCTGTTTGATCCTGTCTCCTCTGATCTGCCCTTTCTTCTACTGTCCCCAATCCATCTGCTGATAGAACAGAGCCTTGGGGGCAAGCTGCATATGCTCAGTTTGGCATGTATTGCTAGAGAGTTTTTTTTTTTCTTGGGATAGTGCATGTGAGTGCACTGCTCTGAGTCTGTTAGGAGAGGGAGAGCAGCTCGGGATTGTAACTATTTAGGAGGAGCTGAATATGGAAGGTTTATTTACATTAATGCAAAGAATGCATTGAGATAAAAAAGAAATAAATAAACCTTAAATAAATAGACCTTAAAGTGGTTATAAAGGCTCAAGGGTTTTTATTCTATGCATGAAGGTAAAATCCTTCTGCATGCAGCAGTGCCCCCAGCCCTCTCATCGCGATCCAGCGATATGAGCGACAGCCTTGGCTCTCCGTCTCCTCATTGGCCAAGACAGGAAGCGGAAGCCATTGGCTCCCGCTGTTGACAATCACAGATAGTCAGCCAATGAGGAGAGAGAAGGGGGCACACGGAGCAGTTGGTGCCCCCATAGCAAGCTGCTTGCTGGGGGGGGGCACTAGACAGGAGGGAGGGGCCAGGAGAGCTTGCGAGGTACCGAGAAGAGGAGGAACCAGGCTGCTCTGTGCAATACCACTGCACACAGCAGATAAGTATAGACAAGTGTTTTATTTAAAAATAAAATAAAATAAAAGCCTTTGGAATCACTTTAATCACCGTATTTTTTTTATTTTTTTGCTAAATAAACGAAGAAAGACAGAACATTATGAAGAAAAAAAACACATTTTTTTTAGTTTCTGTTATAACATTTTGGAAATAAAAAAATTGTTTGTCATAAATTTAGGCCAAAATGTGTTCCTCTACATTTCTTTGGTAAAAATAATACAAAGTCAACAAACTATGGGATATATATCTGAAAATAGATCAATCCTGATGTACTGATGACCTCTCATTTCTTGAGACCCTAAAATGCCAGGACAGTACAGATGCAAAACAAGTATAGCATGTTTGTTATTTATTAAAAAAAAAAAAAAAAAATTAACCTTTAGAATCGCATTAAGACCAGTTTAAAACGCCACCTTCTGACTGAAAAAAAAAATTACACTTTTTTTTCAAAATATCTTGTCCATAATAAGGAAAATATATACAAAACCACAATACAGGTTAGTACAGAATGGTAATAGTATGGCTACTTACTGAGCTAGTTGAGACAATTTTCACCAGATTCCTCTTTTTATAAACCATAATAATTTAGTCTAAGGGGTCACCAAGTAAAGTGACCTCTAAAGTCCAATCATACATTATTTATTTCAGGTACTTATATAGATATATATAGAATATAAATTCTGGTGCCAAAACCAAAAATTCAGGATGCACTTGGCCAAAGACCGAAATGGACAGTTTAAAAAAAATTAATATCTATTAATTAAATTAATATAATTAATATATTTTTCAAACGCATTTTTTTTTGGGGAAAAAATACATTTTAATGATAAAAAAAAACCCACAATATTTACCCCACTTTTTTTTGTAAAATATGAAAGATAATGTTACGCCAAGTAAATAGATACCCAACATGTCATGCTTTAAAATTGTGCACTACTCAAAAATCTCCATAGATGACACTTTGTAACTTTAAACTGGTAACCTGTAGAGATTTTTAGAGGAGGTCTAGTGCTAGAATGATTGCTTTTACGTTTGTGGCGATAGCTCACGTGTGGTTTACATATGTGGGTATGGCCTACATATGTGTTCACCACTATGCGCGAGCACGGGGGGATGGGGGCACTTTAAACTTTTATTTATACTGTCCCTTTAAAAAAAAAAAAAAAAAAATGTTAAATCACTTTTATTCCTATCACAAGGAATGCATGCATCCCTTGTGATAGAAATAAACAGTGACAAGTCCTTTTTATGGAGAGATAAGACCCCACCTTTCTCCTCCTAAATGTAAAAAAAAAAAAGAAAAAAGAAAAAAGGCCTTGTTTACAAGATGCTGGTACTGGAAATGATGTTGCTTCGGTCCTCCAAGGGAATAGAGATGAGTGGAGGTAATCTTTCCTCCATTTATCTCTATGCCCAGTGCCAGGGCCGTTCGATGGTCTCTCAGGTAAGGCTGAGAATCACCAAGCGTCGGCGGGGTTATTTGTGGCACCTGTATCAGTGCTTATTTTCATATCGGCCAAAGACCGATAGCGGTGTTTTCGGCCACCAAAATTTCAGTGCGTCCTTATTCTCTCTCTCTATATATATCAATATATCTATATAGATATATCTATATATATCTATATATCTATACACACACACACAGTCACATCAGCCCCTGCCCTCAAGGAGCTTACTATCTAATGTCCCTAAAGCCAGTCATTGATGGTTCAAATCTTAGCTGGTTCAGCAGGGCAGGCTGATCGTACCCAATTCGATTGTTGCACGACGTGGGTACAACTAGCCTGTCAGATTTTTCATGTGATTATTGCCAGTGGCCAGAGCCGCTAGCAATAATGTGTTCTCCCAGCAGGGACGGCTTCTCCCCCCCAAGACTCCCTGCCAGGAGAAGATAATAGCTCCGCAAGAGGGATTCCCCCATCAACACAGTCAGTCCAGCAATTTGCAGGAAAGAAAATCACATCATCTATGGCTGGCTTAACTCACATTTATACATACACATACTAAGGCCAATTTAAACAGGAACCAATTAACCTACCAGCATGTCTTTGGAGTGTGGAGGGAAACCGGAGTACCTGGAGGAAACCCACACAAGCACAGGGAGAACATGCAAACTGCTTGCAGGTAGTGTCATGGTTGGGATTCGAATGAACGATCCTAGTGCTGCCAGGCAGAACTGCCAAATACTTAGCCACTGTACTGCCCATATTATTATAAACAGTGAGCAAAATATTGTACTTATTATAAGATCTTTTTTTTGTAGTCCATTAAGGGACAGAGAAATTCAGACACAGTTGATTTATACTGCCGCATACAGAAAGTTTGGACACTGGGAAACAGAAAAATTGTAAGAATGCCTCAAAATTGCTGAAAAACAGAAGAAGCTGCCAATGATAAAGACGATCTCAAAAAGGATCTACCTGATGCTCAAGAGCAAGATAAAAAAAAAACAAAAAAACAAAAAACAAACAAACAGGGACAAAACCCCAAGAGGACTGGTCTCCAGGAGGGAACTTTCCACAAAACCAGAACCTCGAGAAAAAGCCCAGTCAGTCTGCACATAATATCAGCACAATAACCCATTAGAGTTGCAAAGTGACCCAGGAGACTGCCAGAGAACTCAAAGGCTCAACCCATGACATCAGCCTGACTGGAAAGGGTAGGATGCACCCACACAAGGGTAAGCAGGGATAGAGATTAAGCTCAATCCCAGACCGTTACAAAGTAACCACCAGAAGAAATTGACGATGACCAAAATAACCCCAAAAGAAAACATCCTCCCAAACCTCCAAGGATGTCTCTCAGACCTGGCAGACTCTGTAGGACCTGCCTAACCTAACCCAATCTAATTCTGAAGGACCTGCCTAACCTTTAGCATAGAACTTGGTTCTAAGAGTCTTCTGACCCACACCAGTCAAAGCATCTGTAGCTATGGAGCGCATAACAGGAAACAGCCTCTCAGCTAAGAACATTTACCATATTAAGGGCAGAACAAGAGGGTATTTTTACAACCTTGCTGAAGAGGCTGCAGGTCAGTCATAGGAAGAAGACCTAAGCCCAAGTCATTAGGTCCAGACAAGTTCTACCCTATCCACAACAGGCGGATACCTGCAGCAGGAAATCACTGGCTTCCTCCTGCTGACTGTCTTGGGGACACTGGCTTCTCCAGCGATGAGTCCTGTCTGCAACTAAAAAAATGGAAAGCACCCAGGCGTGATAGTCTCAACACCAGGCAGAGAGGTTATCAATTGACGCAACACATCCACCAGAGGATGGGGGAAACAACAATCCATCTCTTGCATTTCCTGGACTAAATGTAGGCACAGCATTCATGCGATACAAGCAGTTTAGAATTCTATAAATTGAATGGAGGTCTGCCTGCTTTCACAGTTCCACAAGCTGGAAAGGCACATTTATAATACACAATCAGGTTTTCTACACATGCACGTGTGAGATTTTACCACTATTGGTGCAATTTGACTGTGGTTGTGGCTTCTTGACTATTATAATTTGGGGGGACACTTCTATTAAAGGCACATTTTGGCAGCTCCCAGGCTGGGAAGTCTGTTGTGTCTTTGAACTTAGA